ATCTGAACGTTGCCCCATCCTCATCATCTCTGATATGCTTGAGCCCACTGTTAAAGTCACTGTGTCAATCCATCTTGTTGGGGGTCTTCCTCTTTTTCTCTGATCTTCCGTCTTACCCAGTATGATGTTTTTTCCCAAAGAATGGTCCCTCCTGACAACATGCCCAAAACACATGAGATAATGTTTCACCATCCTTTCCTAAAAAGGACAACCTGGTTGCATTTCCTCCAAGACAGACTTGTTGTTCCTTTGGCAGTCCATAAGATATTCAATCTTCTTTGCCAACTCCATAATTCTAAGGCACTGATTCTTCCTCTGTCATGTTCATTCACTATCTAACTTTCAGATGCATAGGAAGCAATGGATATCATGGCTTGGGTAAGGTGCATCATAAACTTTAAATTGATATCCCTATTCTTTAGAGCTTTGGAGAGGTCCTTAAGAGCAGAATTTCCCACTGCAATACATTCTTATATTTCCTGACTACTGTTATTACAGGTGTTGATTGTGGAACCAAGTAAAATAAAATTGTTGACAGCTTCAATCTTTTTTTTTCTTTTTAAATATTAAGAAATCTGGAGAACCACCAATTGGTCAACTGACTGGAAGAGATCTATATTTGTTCCCATTCCAAAGAAAGGTGGTAAAACAGAGTGTGGAAATTATCGCACAATATCATTACTATCACATGCAAGCAAGATTCTGCTGCAGATTATCCAAAAATGACTGGAACAGCACATCAACAAAGAACTATCAAAAGTGCAGGCTGGGTTTACATGGGGTTGTGGTACTAGGGATATTGTAGCTAATGTTAGATGGATCTTGGCTCAAAGGAGGGAATACCAGAGGAATGTCTATCTGTGTTTCATTGACTTTGCAAAGGCATTTGACTGTGTGGATCCCAACAAACTGTGGCTGTGTCTGAGAAGAATGGGAATCACAGAACACTTGATCGTGCTAATGTGAAACCTATACTTGGACCAGGAGGCAGTCGTCAGAACAGAGCAAGTAGACACTGCATGGTTCAAAATAGGGAAGGGTGTATGTCAGGGCTGTATCCTATCTCCATACCTTTTCAATCATTATGCAGAACAGATTATCTGGGATGCTGGGCTCTATGAGGGGAAATGTGGCATCACGATCGGAGGAAGACTCATCAATTATCTGCTTTATACAGATGATACAACCCAGCTTGCCAAAACTGAGGAGGACCTGAAGCACCTGCTGTGGAAGGTCAGGGACTGCAGTCTTCTGTATGGAATGAGGCTCAATATCAAGAAAAAAAAGATTCTCACCACTGGGCTGATTGGCAACATCATGATGGATGATGAAGAGACTGAGATTGTTCACAGCTTTACTTTGCATGGCTCCACAGTCAATACTCTTATTTTTGGGGGAGGGGGGGAGGGTGTCTCTACTCCATGACCATCAGGTCTGCCTTTAATTGTGGGGTTTTTTTTAAATTTCCATTCATTCATTGTTGCACTTTTCGCCCTGCCCACCCTTCCCCGCCCCCAAGTACACTCTTTGAAAAGTAAAAGAAAAAGTCTTTCATTGTTTCATCCATCCCCCCAGGTCTACTCCACTATGCTGCCTTTATTCTGGACTCCTGTCATGACAATAATAACTAATCACATATCCCTTTTAAACAGTTTTCACCCTCATCTGTTTCAATGCAGTATACATTATTTATCCCATCTTTCTCAGTCTCTCCCCAAGCCCGATGTCAGTCCTGTTTTACAACAGTGGCACTATGCAGTATTTGTCCATTTGTGACTGAGATATTTCACTCTGCATAATGTCCTCAAGGGTCACCCATTTTGAATAATATTTCATGAGTTCTTTGTTTTTCAATGCAGTGTAGTATTCCATTGTGTGAATATACCACAGCTTCTCTATCCATTCGTTTGTTAATGGGCACTTAGATTGTTTCCAACTCCTTGCTATTGTGAACAAAGCTGCAATAAACATGGGTGTACACACAGTCAACACTCCTGGAACCAGCAGCCAGGAAATTAAAAGATGTATTGAGATGGGAGAGTCTGCAGTTAGAGACCTCTCTAAAGTGCTGAAGAGCAACGTTTTCAATAAGGAGACTAAGGTGAGCCTGATACATGCCATGGTCTTTGCAATCACTTGCTATGCATCAAAGAGCTGGACAATGACTCGGGATGACAGATGGAGAACTGATGCCTTTGAGCTGTGGTGTTGGAGAATAGTACTGGATATACCATGGACTGTTAAGAAAACAAACAGGTTTGTCCTGGAGAGGGTGAAGTTAGGCTTCTCCTTGGAGGCAAGGGTTCTGAAGCTTTCTCTGACATACTTTGGATATGTTGCAAGGAGGGACCAGGCTTTGGAGAAGGACATCATGTCTGGGAGGGGAAAGAGACAGTGCAAGACAGGAAGACCCTCGATGAGATGGACTGATTCAGTGACTGGGGAATTGAGCATAGGTGTGTCAGAGACAAGTGAGATTGTCAAAGGATAGGGCAGGGCTTAGGGCTGTTGTACATAGGGTCACTATGAGTTGCAGGTGACTCGACAGTACATAACAACATTCATTAACATATTTTTCCCAGTTGTTTTTGGATAATCTTCAGCAGAATTTTGCTTGCATGTGATATTAACGATATTGTTCGATAATTTCCACACTTTGTCAGATCACCTTTCTTTGGAGTGGGAACAAATATAGATCTCTTCCAGTAAGTTGGCCAGGTGGTTGTCCTCTAGATTTCTTGGCACAACTTGGTGAACACATCCAGGGCAGCATCTGTTAGTTGAAATATGTCAATTGGTATACCATATATTCCCAGGGCCTTAGTTTTTTGCTAATTCCTTCAAAGCAGCTTGAACTTCTTCCTTCATCACCACAGGCTCTTGCTCACACGTTGTTTTATGAAATTCTTCTGTGTTCACCAATTCCTTTTGGTACAATGACTCTGTATACTCTTTCCATCTTCTTTTAATACTTTCTGAATCATTTAATATTCCGCCCAAAGCATACTTAAGTACTGCAACTCGATGCTTGAATTTGTTCTTCAGTTCCTTCAGCTTAAGAAATGCAGAGTAAGTTTGTCCCTTTTAATTTTCTGACTCCAGCTCCTTGCACATTTCATTGTAATAATTATCAAAATTAATGAACAATTTCATTGATATTACATGCAAGCAAGAGTCTGAAGATTATACTAAAACAACTGGAACAGCACATCAACAGAGAACTGCCTGAAGTGCAGGCTGGATTTAGAAGAGGCCCTGGCACTAGGGATAGTATACTTAATGTCAGATTGACCTTGGCTGAAAGCAAAAAATATCAGAGGAATGTCTATCTGTGTTTCATTGACTATGCAAAGTTGTGGCTGACTTTGAGAAGAATGGGAATCCCAGAACACTTGATCATACTTATGTGAAACCTATACTTGGATCAGGAGGCAGTCATCAGAACAGAGGAAGGAAACACTCCATGGTTCAAAATTGGGAAGGATGTGTGCCAAGGATGTGTCCTATCTCCTTATCTTTTCAATCTATTTGCAGAATAGATTATCTCGGAGGCTGGGCTCTATTAGGAGAAATATGGCATCAACAATCTGCTTTATGTAGATGACACAACCCTGCTTGCTGAAACTGAGGAGGACCTGAAGCTCTTGTTGCAAAGGTCAAGGACTGAGGCTTTCAATATGGATTGAAAATCAGTATCAAGAAAACAAAGTCTCACCACTGGGCTGACTGGCAGCATCATAATGGATGGTGAAGAGATTGAGATCGTCAACAGCTTCAGTTTGTTTGGCTCTACAACACTCTTGGTACCAGCAGCCAGAAAATTAAAAGACAAATTGCACTAGCAAAGTCTGATGTCAGAGACCTCTCCAACATACTGAAGAGTAAGAATGTCAGTCTTGAGACTAAAGTGCGCCTCATCCAGGCCATGATCTTTGCAATTACTTGCTATGCGTCAGAAAGCTGGACAATGGCTAGGGATGAGGAGAATTGATGCCTTTGAGCTGTGGTGCTGGAGAAAAGCACTGAATATACCAGGGAGAACAAACAAGTTCATCCTGGAGAGGGTGAAGCCACGTTGCTCCTTGGAGGAAGGATTCTGAAGTTTCTTCTGACATACTTTGGACATGTTGCAAGGTGAGATCAGTCCTTGGAGAGGGACACCATGCTTGGGAGGGTAGAGGAATAGCAGAAGAGAGGAAGACTCTCAATGAGATGGATTGATTCAGTGACTGGGGTAATGAAGGTAGGTTTATCAGAGACAATATGTTTGTCACAGGATAGAGCAGGGTTTAGGGCTGTTGTAGACAGGGTTGCTATGAGTTGTAGGCAATTCATCGGCACATAACAACAACAACAACAACATTTTTTTAAAGAAACCATAATCAATACAAAATTATAGCAATCATTTACCCTTTTAAACAAAACAGCAAGTTCTAAACCACAGTTTGTAAATTATCAATTGACAGCTTCAATCTTTTCTCCATCTATCATGATGCTGCTCATTGATCCAATGGTGGGGCTTTTAGTTCTTTTGATGTTTAGATGTAATTCTTACTACATCTGCAGTACGTAACTTTCTGCAAGTAATGTTTTGTCATGTACATAACAGAGAATGCTGAAGAGTCTTTCTCCAATCCTGATGCCACATTCTTCTTCAAGTAGTTCAACTTTTTGAATGACTGGTTCAGCATACCTGTTCAGGTTGAATAGGTGTGGAGAAAGAATACAATCCTGAAGCACAACTTTCTTGATTTTAAACCATGCAGTGTTCCCTCGTTTTGTTCTGACAATGACTTCTTGGTTTATGTGTAGGTTTCACTAGAGCATAATTAAGAGTTCAGGGATTCCTATTCTCTCAACATTATTTATCATTTGTTAAGACCCATGCAGTCAAATGTTTTTACATAGTCAATAAAGCACAAGTAATCATCTTTCTGGTATTCTCTGCTTTTGGCCAGGATCCATCTGATATTAGTAATTTTGTCCCTGGTGCTCACAGCCTTTTCTGAATTCAGCTTTAATTGCTGGAAGCCCCTTTTGTTGATATGTTGTTCTACCTACTTTTGAATAATCTTCAGCAAAGATTTTACTTATGTGATATTAATGATATAATTTGATAATTTCCACATTTCACCACCTTTCAGTCAGATGGCCAGGTCTTCAAATTTCTTGGCATAGACCTGTGAGCCCATCAAGTCTGCACCTACTTAGTGAAACCTGTCAATTGGAATTTTGTCAATTCTTGGAGCCTCATTTATTGCATGCCTTCAGTGCAGCTTAAACTTCTTCCTTCAGTACCATTCACTCTAGAAATGACCTGAAGTATGTCAGTGTTGACCAGTTCTTTTTGGTTCAGTGACTCTGCAGTCATCTTCCTTTGGTGCTTCTTCATCATTCAAGGTTTTGTCTACCGAATCCTTCAGGTACAGCAACTCAAGGCTTGGATTCAAATACCAACAGGATGTAGGATTAAGATACAGTAGATCTTTAATCCCAGAATACTTGATTGTGCTTTTGCAAAACCTATAACTGGACCAAGAAGCAGTCCTGCATGGTTCAAAATCAGGAAAGGAGCGTGTCAGGGATGCGTCCTGTCCCCATAACTTTTCAATCTGTATGCAGAACAGAGCACTCGGGAAGCAGGGCTTTATGAGGAGGAATGTGACAGCAAGATTGGAGGAAGACTCAGCAACAACCTATGACATGCAGATGACACACCTTGCTTGCTGAAACTGAAGAAGACCTGAAATGCTTGCTGCAGAAGGTCAAAGACTGTATGTAGTCTTCAATATGGATTAAAGCTCAACATCAAGACAAAGATTCTCACCACTGGGCCAATTAGCGGCACTATTATAGATGGAGAAGAGATTGAGTTTGTTAGCAATTACAGCTTGCTCGGCCCCACAATAAACACTCTTAAAGCGCCAGCAGTCAAGAAAACGAAAGACTAATTGCATTGGGAAAATCTGCTGTCATGGACCTCTCCAGAGTGCTGAAAAGCAACGATGTCAGTCTAGAGACAAAGGTGTGCCTAATCCAGGCCCTGGCCTTCTCAATTACTTGTTATGTTTCAGAGAGCTGGACAATGACTAAGGATGACAGAAGAAGAATAGATGCCTTCGAGCTGTGGTGCTGGAGAAGTATTGAACATACCATGGACTACCAAGGAAATAAACTGGTCTGTGTTGGAGAGAGTGAAATCAAGTCTCTTTTTTGAAGGCTAAGATTCTGAAGCTCTGTTTCACATACTTTGGGCATGTGGCCAGGAGAGACCAGTCCTTGAAAAAAGACGTCATGCTCGGAAGGGAGGAGGGACAGTGCAGGAGAGGAAGACCTCGGATGAGATGGATTGATACAGTATCTGAGGCAATAGGTTTTGGTATGTCAGAATTAGTGACACTGGCTCAGAATAGGAAATTTTCAGAGGTGCTGTACAAAGGTCGCTATACATTGCAGGCAACTCAACAGCATGTAACAATATCATACTATATTGGTTTTTGTTTTTGTTTTTAATTTAAGCCTCTTGTTTAGAATCAACAAGACCTTAGGGAGGGCCTTTGTATTTAAAAGTCGGTTGTTAATTCGGGGCTCTCAGCTGGATGCTGCTGTGTCAGCATGTGGGAGCCCGGGTTCGAACTCGAAATAAACTTTGTTAATTCGGAAAAAAAAATAAATAAAAGTCAGTTGTTAATATATTTTGGAGGAACATTCTTTTAAGTGATATAGCACTCTCCTGTCAATATGCTGTACTGAGGTAACCTAGGCTGCTGTGATGCTGAACTTTGTGCCACTGAGATGTCAAATGCCTAATGGTTACCCATGCTGACCAGTGTTTGGTGGAACGTCCAGTTTAAGACAGGTTTGGAAGCAGGAGTGGCATCCACTTCCTAAACAACATGCGTCTGGAAACTCTGAACATTGATAAATGAGGATAGTTATAGAATGGCTTCAGGCCTTTTCACAGGGTCGCTATGAGTTGTGCTCGACTTGACGGCAACCAACAAGTCTTTAATCCTCGCGTTTCCTTGTGATCCTATATAGAGGAATGTTCCTCCAGGCTAAAACTTGTTTGCTTAGGACACTTAATATAATTTGATCTAGGTGTTCTGATAAATGACAGCCAATAAACAATCATCAACAGCCTCAGCTTGTTGTTCACCAGCCACTGAGTCCATGCATACTGGCCTATGGCATCTGGAATAGCCTCAGCCATTTCCCTGAAGTTTTTTAGTTACTCCCTTCTCACAAATTACAGAATCAAAAAAACACAGTCATGAGTCTAAGGGCTGAGGAGAGGAGAAATAACTGATCTAAAAGAAGACGGAGTGGTACAGCTACTTGGAGAAATTAGACATTTGGAAATTTTTTAACCTTCACAGTACAAGAATTATTCTAGTACTAATCATTGTAAAGGGAGCAATGGTGGCTTAGTAGTAACGAGTTGTGCTGCCAAATCAAAGGCACACAGTTCAAATTCACCAGCTGCTCCATGGGACAAAGATGTACAATCTTCTCCTGTGCAATTTACTGCCTCTGAAAACCCACTGGAAGGTCAACTATGGGTCAGTTTCGACTCTGTAACACATGACAATAATCACTGTAAAAGAAGTTATTCATTCACCTTACTTCTGAACGGTATAGGCCTTGCTTGTTGTTCTTTTACTAATTGTTGGGTTAAGGTCCTGATTTTGGTTCTTCCATTTTTGATGTGTTTATTGCTATAAATTGGCATCTTAGTACCACTTTTGCTGTGTTCTTAAGGTTTTTCTATGTTGTAGTTTTATTCTCATCTGCTCAAAAAATATTTTAAAATTTCTTCAATTAGCCAAATAGTGTTCATGGAAGGTATTATTGTGTTTCTGTGTATTTATTTGATTTTTTTTCTTCTTTACTCTCCCTAGTGTTGGTTTCTAAACTTATAGTATAGTTATCTTAGTTGTTTTAGAATATTTAGATGCTTTTTAATTTATTGAGGCTTTCTTTGTGACCTGACATATTGTTTATTCTGAAAAATGTTCCACTTGCACTAGAGAAGAATGTATATTGTGTTCTATGTTGAGTGGAGCCCTAAATATGTCTACAAGAACCATTTGGTAAATTTAGCTTAGTTCTTCTGCACCACTGAATTTCTTTCTATTTGTTCTGTTCTTAATCTAGTTTATTGAAGTTACCTACTATTATTGTGGAGTTGTTAATTTCTCTCTTCAAATCTGTTAGAGTTTGATCTTTAAAGTTCCAAAGGTCTATCTTGTTACTCTGTCACTGGGTGTGTATGTAATACTTAAAGTTATGTTCTCTTGTTCAACTGACTTTTTGACCATTATATAATGCCTTTTTTTGTCTCTTATGTTGGTTTTTATCTTGAAATATATTTTGTCAGAAATTAATATTACCACTCCTTTATTACTGCTTATTTGATATACTTTTTCCTATCTTTTGATTTTTCTTTGTCCTTGTGTCTAGGACATGCTAAATCCTCTTCAGCAATTGCCTCTTTGACCATTTCATTTTCTCTTATGCTGGTTTTTGTCTTATTGTTGTTAGGTGTCAATGAGTCAAGTATGACTATATCAACTCTATGAAGAACAGATCTGAACCTTTTCCTATCCTGTGCCAACTTCAAGATTTCTGAAACACTTAAGCCCACTGCTGCAGTCACCTGTGTCAGTCCACCTGATTTGAGAGTCTTCCTCTTCCTTCACTGTCCCTTAAATTTTTCCAAGCATGTCTTTCTCCAAGGAATAACCTATCTTAGCAACAAATGCAAAGAATGTGAGACAAAGCTTCATTATCCTTGTCTTCAAGGAGCACTTTGGCTTTACCTTCTACAAGACCTGTTTATTCTTTTCACAACACCACCACAGTTCAAAGACATCAATTTTTTGTTTGTCACTTTTATTCACTGTCCAGCTCCCAGTAAGTGATTGAAAAGATCATGGTCTGAATTGGATATACCTTAGTCCTCAAAATAACATCAATGCTCCTCAATAATTTGGAGAGGTTCCTGACTGCAGACTTTCAAAGTGCAATATGTCTCCTGAACTCCTGATTTCAAATGTTAACGACTGTGGAACCAAATAAGATGAAGTTGTTGATAGTTTAAATATTTTCTCCATCTATCAAGATATTGTCTATTGATCCAGTGTTTTTTGTTTCCTTGACATTGAGATACAATCCATATTAAAGGCTGTAGTCTTTGATCTTCTGCACCAAGAGTTTCAAGTCCTCTTCACTTTAGGAAAGCAAGGTTGTGCCATCTTCACAGTAAAAGTTATTGATGAATCTTCCTCCAACACTGAGGCCACATTTTCTTCATATAGTCCAGTTTCTCGAATAATTTGCTCAGCATACAGACTAGGTATGGAGAAAGGATATAAACCTGATGCAAACTTTACTTAATTTCCAACCATGTAGTGTTCCCTTGCTATGATCACACAACAGCTTCTTGGTCTAAGTATAGGTTTTGCATGTACAAATTAATGGCTCAAGTGTGGTTTTGCCTTAAATTGTATTTTACCAGAAATCAGTATTACCCCTCCTGCCCTTTTTGACTGCTGTTTCCTTGACATACTTTCACCTATGCTTTGATTTTTAGTCTGCCTTTGTCCTTGTGCCTATGTCCTCTTGTTCAACTGACCCTTTGACCATTATATAATGTGTTTTCTTACCTCTTATGCTAGTTTTTCACCTTGAAGTGTATTTTATCAGAAATTATATTGTCACTTTTGCTCTTTGATTGCTGTGTGCTTGACATTCTTTTCCTACTGTTTGATTTTTAATCTATCTTTGTCCTTTTGTCTAGTATGTGCCTCTTATACAAGAATCTTGATAGGTCTTGTTTTCTTATTCATTCTGCCACTCTTTTTCTCTTGATTGGTGAACTTAATCCATTCACCTTCAGTGTAATTATCAATAGCTATGGTTTTATTCTTCTTCTTTCTGCCCCCTCTATGCGTTCTGTGAACGATTTCAACACAGCCTTGGGGTCTTCACGTTTACCTGTAGTATGGGCGGGGATGTTCAAGGCCCTTTGTGCCTGCTTCTCTGCCTGTGAAGATTTCTTTCTGCCCCCTCTATGCTACACTCTTATTTGTGGTATTGCTAATTTTTTAAAAAATTCTATCAGTTTTTCAATACCAATTAATTTTGCTTATGGCTGTTCTACTGCTGCTGTTTCGGTGAGTAATAAGTCTTTATGGATTTTTCATATTTTTATGAGTAGTTGTTGTTAGGTGCCAGTGAGTCAAGTACACCTCACAGGGATTCTATGAACTATGGATCTGAACCCTGTCCTATCCTGTTCCATCCTCACACTTCCTGACACACCAGAGCCCATTGTGGCTGTCACCATGTCAATCCACCTGGCTGAAGGTCTTCTTCTCCTTAGTCGACCCTCTACCCTTCTTCTGTTAGACTCATTCACTGTCCAGCTTTGAGATGCATAGCAAGTGTTCAGAAAGACCATGGCCTGAATCAGACATAATTTAGTTCTCAAACTGACATCATTTCTCATCAATAATTTGGAGAGGTCTCTAAGTGAAGACTTTCCCAGTGCAGTGTCTCTCCTTATTTCCTGATTGCTGGTACAAAGGATGTGAGTTGTGGATCTAAGTAAGATGAAGCTGACATAATCTTTTTTTTTTTTTTTTGATGGTTTCAACTGTTTATTTTCTTTTTTTTTTCTATAATTATATTTTATTAATTTTCATAAACATTTCCAGAGATTTTGGGCTTCCACTCATTCATTGTTGCACTATTCTCTCTACCCTCCTCCCAGTTTGTTCTTGTCCAAATGCCACAGTGCTTGTCAAAGCCTGTTCTGATTAATCTTCTTTGTCGAAGCTGACAGTTTCAATCTCTTCCTCATGCATCATGATAGTTGCTTATCGATCTAGCGGTAAGAATCTTTTTCTTTCTTGACATTGAGATGCAATCCATATTGAAGGCTGCATTCCTTCATCTTCTGCATCAAGTGCTGCAAGTCCTCCTCATTTTCAGCAAGCAAGGTCATCTGCGTAACGCAGGTTGATTAGTCACCCTCCGATCTTGATGCTATATTCCTCTTCACAAGAATCCAGCTTCTCAAATAATTTGCTAAGCATACAGACTGGATAGGTATAGAATTTTCTTGAAGGTTGCCTTATAAATTACTTTTATTCCGAAGTCTTAAACAATTCACTTTATAGTGAAATCGTCTTGACTTCCTCTACATTAGAATTAAGATTGATCCTCTGTGCTTTTTTCCTTTCTAGGCTATCCGTTCTTTTTAGCAACTATAGTCTCTTGAACTCAGTTCTTAAAATTCTTTAACTGAGAAGCCTACAAGTTCCAGCTATACCATATAATAGCAATTGAAGTGAAAAACTGCCAAAAAGGGAAAATCCTTTCAAATTATCATTCTTTGTCTCCATTTTACAGTAGAAACAACACTGTTGCTGTTATGTGCTGTCAAGTTGGAACCAACCCATAGTTGACCCTCCAGCTGGTTTTCAGAGGCAGTAAATAGCAAGGGAGGAAACAGCCCATCTTTCTTTCACGGAGGATCTGGTGGATTTGAACTGCCTGCCTTATCAATAGGCCACCAGAAACTGGAAATTTGAAGACCTGAACTTAAATCCTAGCCTGGACACTTTCTAGCTATGTAATTTTGGAGAAGTCAATTCTTACAGCCCATTTCTTCACCCTGCTTTAGGAACATTAAAATTGCATATATGATAAGAAAATTTAGGCTTAAAAGTGGCAGAGCTTTGGTCACATAGTCTGTAGGGAGCTGACTATTATCCTATAGGCCAAGCCTCTCTGGGGGATTTAAATCTACCAGCGGATCCTTAGAAGAAAGTTGGACAATCTCCTCCTATGCAATTTGTAGCCTTGGAATCCCATTGGAGGGTTAGCTGTTAGGTGGTTCTAACTTGACAACAATGAGTTTATTAGGTAGTAGGAATTGGATTGGTCAACCATAACTGTTTGATTCCAAAATCCTTGCTTTTCTACTAAATCATACTATTTTTATCTTTCTGATGACTACTGTTTGTATCTGTCTCAAATATTAGATTGGACACCAATTATATAATAAGTCAAAGCCCTTGATCTTGAGACATTTAAGTGTCATTCTTGTCTTCTAAGCATTGATTGCTCTCTCATTTATACCTGTTTCTGGTAACTCTCTAGTACCTTTGTTGTTGTGTAACACAGAGTTGAAAATGACTCATAACTGACCCTCTGGTGGGTTTTCAGAGGCAGTTAATCGCACAGGAGGAGATTGCCCATCCTTCTCTCGCAGAGAAGATGATGGCCTTGAACTGCATGTCTTCAGGATTAAAATGCAGCTTCTTGCCACTAAGCCACCAGAGCTCCCTCTAATGCCTTTTAGACAGTTTTGGGGTTTTTTAAAATACATTTTTTAGTTTGTAATTGGTACTTGCTAGAAGAATTGGTCTGATTACAAGCTACTCTACCATTAACAAAAATGGGACTACTGTTCATAGATTTTTGGTTATCTGGTTGCTCTGTTTTCATGGGAATTATTTTGGTAACCAAAAGCTATGCTACCACTATCCTGTATTTTCAGAAATTTCGGTTATATATTTTAATAATAAAGTCAATACTGCCTACCAAAAAAATTTACAGTTTTTGCTCAGATTAGTCCTGATCCAAAAAGGACATTACTACTAGGTATATATTTAATTGCTATGGAGTAGAAGACCAGAAACAAAACTAATTTTCTACTACCACTTCATACCTGATGTTGTCCTGGTTATTCCCTGATCTGGTAATGTGCCATATTTCTGATGCTGATCATACCAGTCATTCACTGTCATAGTTGCCAGGCTTGGATAACCAGCTCCAAAGACCCTAGAAGAAATATATTACATTTAGAAAACCAAACTTAAATAACACTATTAAAATGCCTCTTCTTTTTAGTGACAATGTCTAGGTTTGTTTTATCCTCAATTCCTTACCCAGCTATCTCCTGAGGTATTGTACAAGTTTCTGTAAGGATATGTAAGAAATGGCATCCAAAGATAAAGTCGGGAGCTTTAAGAAGAAAATAAACAGTTCAAGATTATATCCCAATAAGCAATCAGAGTCAATGCCCCACAGAGCAGTGATGACACTGCTGAAGGGGTATTATGGTTGCTGGGTCTGATAGGTACAGAGGGGAAGGAAAGTCTCCTGCTATTTTGTGGAAACACATTTTAAGAGCTCAGAATTATATTCTAGATAGGAAAATATGCCCTTAGGAGGATGGCAATAACACAGGGAAAATGTACAGATTTCCCTATAAGAATCTTCCTTCCATTTTCATTAATTTTTGTTTCTTTTTGGGCCTATTTATAAGCTTGAGTTTGAGAGGGAAATGTCTGATAAAGAAAGAGAAAGTATTAGAGAAAAGAATTTCTTTGATGAAAATAGCCTGCATAAGTGAAACCATGATCTTTCAATAATACCCATTTTGCCTGTTATTAATACAAAGTAATTAAACTATAAAAGCATAAAGCCTGCAAAGGCAACCTACTTTTAAGTACTACCTACTTGGCTTGGGCCACATCCCGAGTGAGAATGAAGGGTTTCATGGGTGGCCTGTCTTGATTAGATGAGTGAGAAGTTGATGCCTAAAAAAGAAATGATCAGAGGTACATTTGCCATTTTGTTCATTCAACTGTGCAGGAAATCAAGCTCTTCAAGAACTCAAACTCTCAATTCAATTTTCATTCATTCATTATTTATCAATCTCTAAGAAACAGTAGCATGGTTTTAAGGTTGCTTAACTCTCTTGAGAAGTCCTGCTATAAAAAGAAAGTTTATAACTCTCTCACCACAGGTTAAAAATTACTTGGCTTTAGGATACTGCCAAAGAAGGAGTTTCCACAGCCTTCTGTGGATTTCACATTGAAATTCTTTGAGCTGAATTTGAAACCCTTTCTTCAACCTGACTTTCAGCGGGAACAACTGAATGTGATGAACTTCCAGGATGTTTCAGAACGAAAACATTCTTAAGTGTAAAGAGAAAGTTAGTGGCTTTCCTATAAAAAGGGGAAAGAAAGCTAGTGGCTTTCATATAAGTGTACAGAAATATTTTAGGGAGCACTAGCTTTCTAGAAGCATACTAAAATAACCTATGGTCAAAGAAACAAGTGTTTACTGGGTTCTAGTTCCATAATTTACAAAGCAAATCCGAATACCACAAAAGAGAGCATTAAAAATAAAAATCTGAAGGGGGGGGGAGGGAAGGATCCAGAAGATTCCAACCTCAAAATGCTAGAAAACACTTCAGATATGCTCAAGGGTCTTATGGCAGTAGAATACTAATTCTTTATTATTTGATCCCTTAATGTAGAGGAACTAGACTGATACAACCTCAAAGCAAGAGCTCCTGAACTAGTCTCATTAGTACAATAAGATATTTAAGATTTAAATGCCTCTGATTAGCTGATAGGTTAAGTTCAATTTACAATGTCTGCTAAACTGAAGAACAAGTGGCTGTACAGCCTATTTTTCTGAAGCCACAGTTCCAAACCTGGGAACCAGGTAATGATATTCAAAGACAATCAAAACTGTATTACACCAGGTTTCTTTACCAATATACACAATAATTTGTTACTTGGAAATGTCCCTGCTGTGTCTCATACTTGGGCAATCTAAAAGTGTTAAAGATCACTGTGTAAAGTTCAATTCTGATTCCTTCCCCAACTTAAACATACTCCTAGCTTTGTTTTTCCTCCTCCTTTCTAGTCTCTTCCATCCTTTCTACAGTTTTTTTTCTTCTTTCTCATTCTATTTCTCTTCCCTTTTGATTTTTATTTTTTTTTCCCCCTGACTGGTTTCCCTGTCAACCATAAATCATGACTTCTCACAGCCAAAACTAATTTTTATTTCAAAGAAGTCTCCTTCTGTGTGGTATGTCACAAAAATAGAAATGAAAGAAATAAATTACATATTAGAAAGACTGGAGAATACTATTAAAAATTAAAGAGAAAACTATTCTACAGGACATTCAGCTTTCTTCTACTAGTTTTAGTAATAACAAGAATTAGCTTAAATAATTTTTATTTTATTATTTTTCGGTAGAATATTCAAATCTTCTGATAATAGTTTTTTAAGCTATATGGACAGTAATAAGGCTTACCTCTTTTGAGGACTCCTTTTCTCTAAGGATCTTTATCTCTTGGTCAATACTCTCAATCTCTTCCAAGCTGATACCAATCCACCTCCGAAGGTGAATAAGATAATATTCACGAACATGCTCATCATCTGCTTGACCACTTTCCACAGCCGATTTCAGTGCAGACAATCTACTTTCCATCTCCTTCTTTTGCTTGTATCTGTTCCATAAAAAAGCATTATTTATATACTCAAAAACCAAGAGGTATTCCTTAAAAGTAAGATCACAATAAGGTTTTTTTACCTTTTCAAATTGCCAGGTATGTTGATTTCCACCCTAGCAGGAATAAAGATTCTACAACCCAGAGCTTGCCACCAAGAAGGTTCCTCAGATTACAAGAAAGGGACAAGCAGAAGCTGAGAAATACATTTTGAAGCCAGAAAAAGAAAACTTAGCCTGAGAAACTACTCCTATACCTTTAAAGATGGAAGTGCCTTGTTGTTATGTGCTGTCAAGTCACTTGTGACTCATAGTGACCCTATGTATAATAGCCCTGAAACCTGCTCTATACTGTGCCAACCTTGTCATCTCTGACACACCTACTTCATTACCCCAGTCACTGAATCAACACATCTCATCGAAGGTCTTCCTCTTGCACTGTGTCCATCTACCCTTCCAAGCATGATGGTCCTCTCCAAGAACTGGTCCCTCCTTGCAACATGCCCAAAGTATGTCAGGCAAAGCCTCAGAATCCTTGCCTCCAAGAAGCAACCTGGTTTAACTGTCTCTAGGATGAATCTGTTTGTTTTCTTGGCAGTCCATGGTACATTCAATACTCTTCTCCAGCGACATGACTCAAAGGCATCAATTCTCCTTCTACCCTCCCTAGTCATTGTCCAACTCTCTGATACGTAACAAGTGATTGCAAAGATCATAGTCTGTATCAGACGTACCTTAGTCTCCAGAGTGACACCATTGTTCTTCAGTACCCTAGAGAGGTCCATAACAGCAGAACTTCCCATCGCAATACGTTTTTTGATTTCCTGGCTACGGGTGCCAAGAGTGTTGACCGTGGATCCAAGCAGGCTAAAATTGTTACCAATCTCAATCTCCTCACCACCTATCTTGATGCTGTCAATTGGTCCAGTGGTAAGAATCTTTGTCTTCTTGACATTGAGCCTCAGTCCATACTTAAGGCTGCAGTCCTTGACCCTCTGCATCAAGCATTTCAGGTCCTCCTCAGTTTCAGCATGCATGGTTGTGTCATCTGCTTAACTCAAATTGTTAATAGATCTTCCACTAATCCTGACACCACACTTGTCCTCATAGAGCCCAGCCTCTTGAATAATCTGTTCTGCATACAGGTTGAAAAGGTATGGAGACAGGACACATCCCTGGTGTACAGCTCTCCCAATTTTGAACCATGCAATGTTTCCCTGCTCTGTTCTGATGACTGCCTCTTAGTCCAAGTATAAGTTTTGCATTAGAAGGATCAAGCGTTTTGGGATTCCCATTCTTTTCAGAGTCAGCCACAGTTTGTTATGATCCACACAGTCAAATGCCTTTGCATAATCAATGAAACACAGATAGACATTCTTCTGGTATTCCCTGCTTTCAGGCAAGATCCATCTAACATCAGCGACAATATGCCTAGTACGACGACCCTTTCTTTTTTTTCTTTTCTATAATTATATTTTATTAATTTTCATAAACATTTACAGAGATTTTGGGCTTCCACTCATTCATTGTTGCACTAACGACGACCCTTTCTAAACCCAGCCTGGTCTTCTGGCAGTTCTCTGCTGCTCCAGTCATTTGTGGATAATCTTCAGTAGAATCTTGCTTGCATGTGAAATCAATTATATTGTTTTGTAGTTTCCACACTCTGTTGGAATGGGAACAAATATAGATCTCTTCTAGTCAGTTGGCCAAGTGGTTGTTCTCCAGATTTTGTGGCACAACTTAGTGAGCACATCCAGGGCAGCATCTGTTAGCTGAAATACGTCAACTGGTATACCATCTATTCCTGGGGCCTTATTTTTTGCTATTTCCTTCAAAGCAGCTTGAGCTTCTTCCTTCATCACCATAGGCTTTGCTCATATGTTATTTCATTAAATTCTTCTGTGTCGGTCAATTCCTTTTGATACAGTGACTCATTATATTCTGTCCATCTTCTTTTAATACTTTCTGGATCATTTAATATTCTGTCTAAAGAATCCTTGATTATAGCAACTTGAGGTTTGAATTTGTTCTTCAGTTCCTTGAGCTTAAGAAATGCTGAACGAGTTCATCCCTTTTGATTTTCCTACTCCAGCTCCTTGCACGTTTCATTTTAATATTTAACTTTATCATCCCGTGCTGCCTTTTGGAATCTTCTGTTCAGCTCTTTAGTAACTTGAATTCTTCCTTGTGCTTTGGCTTCTCTGCATTCCAGTGTAATCTTCAGAGTTTCTTCTGACATCCATTTTTGTCTTTTTTTTTTCTTTTCTGTCTTTGTAATGACCGTTTGTTTGCACTCTTCCTGGGTGATGCATTTGACATACTCCCACAACTCATTAGGTCTTTGCTCATTGGTGTTCAAGGCCTCAAACGTGTTCCTGAGATGGTTCTGAAATTCAGGTGGGATGAACTCAAAGTAATATTTTGGTTCCCGTGGATTCGGTTCAATTTTCCTCAGCTTCAGCTTGACCTTGCATATGAGTAGTTGGTGGTCTGTTCCACAATCAGTTACTGGCCTAGTTTTCAGAGCTGATACTGAGCTTTTCCAGCAGTTCTTTCCACAGATGTAATCGATCTGATTCCTATGCATACCATCAGGTGAAATCCATGTGCATAACCGGTGTTTGTTTCTTATAAAATGTATTTGCAATGAATAAGTCATTGATTGTGCAAAATTCAATCATTCTATCTCCAGCTTCATTTCTGTCACCAAGTCCATGTTTTCCAACTATTCTTTTTTGTTCTCAACGTTTGCATTCCAGTCATCTATTACTATCAATGCATCTTGATTGCATGTTCGATCGATCTCCAACAGTAAAAGTTGGTAAGATATTAAATTTTTAAAATATAAAACAAAAAGTGATAATTATTTGTACACAAGGACTTGAAACAGAGCGAGGATAAATTTAAAGACTTTCTGACCTCAACAACTAGATGGAGTGGCCATCTACTAAGACGGAAGAAGATGGGTTGGCTAAAAGGTAGGGGGAGGGTTGAAATTTACCACTGAAAGGTCTGTTCAAGGGTTGATATCAAAGAGTCTCTAGATCAAACACATTCAGAGTTCAAGAAAGGAGGCAGGGTTGGAAATGGAATAAGATCTCTTAGGATGTACAGAAAATAAGAATCAAATCTTCGGTAAGCTTTGAAGTTGACTTTACCTATAACAAGGTTGTTGTTGTTATG